GGGAGGGGGGGGGGGAGGGGGGGGGGGGGGGGGGGGGGGGGGGGGGCATGAGTCCTACAATAATCACACTGTTCATTTTTCAACCTGTACTAAAATACTCAAATGACATCATTTAGCAAATATTTTCTATTTATGTTTTGAGGGGACAGACAAAGAAAGTCTGCCACGGATGAATAGAGCATTGAAGTGACTCTCAGACTGTGTGGTTATACCTGTTTTCCCCCACACACTGGCTAGACATTTGTCTGTGAGGCATAAAGCCAAACTTTTAAATATTCAATAGACTGAATGCGTGGTTTGAAAAGTGAATTAAATCTTTATTATTATTATTTTTTTTTTTGTATAATTTTTTCACTAATATGAGTTATTTACAGAAAAACTGCCATTCAATTTTTGTTTTAAAATCCTCAAAAGCAGTGACTGCCTGGGGACATGGTGCACACTAGTAAATCATTTTTGTTTCTTGCTATGGTTACTGGGGCGACTCCCCCTCCACACCCCACGCTCAATTTCCCGCCAATTTCTGCAGCATCAACAAATGCACCAAAGTGGCATGTTTATTTTGTGAACCACACAATTTTATGACAAGTTAGATAATGTCTAGACATTCTTAGTGTACCTGCTGGCTACTGCCCTCTGACTGGGAGAGCTTACATCATTGTATTTTTGTATCAAATCAAGCGTTCAGTACAAAAACACAACAGTTTACAAGTAGCAAATGAACACTTGGTTCATCTTGATTTAATTTTCTGAATTCTATAATTACCACAGCCCTGGGATTTAATCCCATGATCAGAGTAAATTTTGAACAGTATGGATACATGCAGAATGAGAATGATACAGACAAAGGGGGTTCATTATGCTGATAAGACTGACTTGAAATTCGCAGATCATTTCTGACCACATTAATCTAGTGAACCAAATTTTTCAACAATCTCCTCAATGAATAAACTCATGTTTTCTTTGGAGAGAAAAACAAGGCGGGATTAAGAACACTGTTAGCAAGAAACATAAGTTACTAAACTCAACAAATAAGTGGTTGTGTTAATCTTGAATATTAATCCACGGAATGCCATCAACATATCTTGTGAAAGAGGCTTTTGTCCTTTCAATCACATACCTAGAACTGCCTACAGACATTCATATTGCCTAATCAACTAACTAGGTACCTGTTAGGGTAAATGAGGCAAACCCACTTAAAAGAGATCCCAAATATTTATTATTAATTACAAAATCTATACCACAGAGCATAAGTTCTTTTATCATATACATAAACTTCTTCTGGATTATGAAATTGTTTGTGAAAATCATTGATAAGATTTGATTGGTGTTTGGATAAAGTTGATAATATAAAAGAACTGTTTTAGCAACCACCAAAACATTTCTGTTACATAATATTATTCATTATTTGTTCAAATAATAATTATTTTCTACTGAAGCTTTGGACGTTTCAGAGAATCACGTCTGCTGACTGCATCTTCGATAAAAAGGTGTTAAAACAAGGCAGCAAAACCATTGCTTTCATTGATAAGACATAAATAAATAAATAAATAAATAAACTCTTACCTGACCAAATGAACCTTTCCCTATAAGTGAGTCAATTTCATATCTGTCCATCCACTTCTCCCCAGGTTTGACGATATAGTCATGGTTGTCGTCATCGTAACCATCGTTGTAGAGACGACGCTCTTTTTTGTGACTTGTGTCGTCACCTTGAGCCTGTTGAGCCCTTCGTTTTTTCTTTGCATAATACACCTGAAAAGAGTAAGTTTGCTTTTGCTTTCATATTCATTTCATAATATAATTTCCAGGTCTGGCATTAATCATAATTATGTTGAAATTCTTTTTAAAAAAATATTATAAGGAAAAAAATTATTCCATTACCAATCTCTTAAATGAAATCATGTGTTTACCCTACAAAAGAATCACATCCATTCAAAATCAAACTACATACACAGCAACAGAAAGCCTTGGTCCATAACATACTGTACATTGTCATATCTAAGCCTGACATCAACCAACACCCGTCTCTCTCAATGATTCCCAGTGGATTCAACACATCAATCATTCACTAAAGTCATATTTAACACGGACACATTCTATTATTTACTTAAGACTACTAGACATATTCTTATTCAACTTAACAAAACTCCTGCATTCATAACTAAAAACTCAGTTCAATCTCATTAGCCATACACAGGTTGTTTTGTTCTGTCTCTGACTTCTGAATCCACCATTTTTTTTGGGAAACAAACACCTATTCTGGTATTCACTGCATTTCTGACAACTGGGCTGGACAACTGCCATTTTAGATAAAAATCACACTCAAGATCTCTTTTATTATTTCCTATTATAAACATAACATTAATTCATGCTGGTATAAAACCATGCAAGTCAGGTCTGCTAATTTAATATCTCATGTAAGCCCTGTTGTGAATGAAGGCGAGGTAGAATGACAACAAACTTGAAATAGTTGTCTTACACACAAACACACAGATCCAACACAAAATCACCTACAGAAAAATCAACCAGTCTCCTGGTGGTCATTCCCTCCCTGGACTGTCCACTGGGCAGTATGTGGTCATTGGTTACAGGTCCCATTGTCAACCTCTGGCTTCCATTCTATGTACAAGCCAAGCAAGTCTGTCTCAATACCTCACTTTGCTATCTGTCCTCAGTGTTTTCTGACATCAGTTTTTATCCAGTTATTCTTAGTTTTTATTTCCTTCCTATGATACTCACTGCACCAAGTATGATGCGTCTCATAGTGTCATAGTGCCTATATGATCCATTGCCTTACATGCCACAGAACATCGGATATACCAAAGTCTAGCAAGTCTCCAACATATGTCTGGCTTTTCTCTGGTAGCAATACTGTCCTTGCTTATTGGTGGTCCACTTGGCTACTATACAAATCCCAATCTATCCAAATTTTGCAATCCCACATATGGTACCATTAAGTAGATCCAAGGCTACAGCTGGGAAGATAAAATTTCAGAGTTTGGTGTAAAAAGTTTTAAGGAAGAAGATGACTGTCCCACTGACTTCAAGGGCACCTGCTGTTGCAATGGTCAGTGCTAAAAATGACCCATGTCTGGTAAAAAATGAATGGCTGCTGTCACTGGGGATGGAACCAAGCTTGTATCACTAATAGGTGATGTATAACTAAAAGTGCATCAGAGAAAGTCAACCTTGACTAACAGTAAACTAGATGTGCATCTGTCATCAACTCACTGTCCACAAGACTTCTGGCTTCACAAGCACCTGTTGGGTTAATCAGTCAGGGATAAACCTGCTTTCACCTTTAATGCCCTATGTTATCTTGTTCAAGTCAACATGAAAGTAAAATCTTATCAAAAATGTTAGCTACATATCCAAATGTGGAACTTTTTCTTTCCATGTCCTTGACATCCATCTCATATCGCGGATCAAAAGCACCTTTCACTTCAAGACCTTGAAATCAAAACCGTATCTCTCTATGTCCACAAAAATTATCTCAGTTGGTCACTCAAATGTCCATTTTACAAACAAATCCACAGAAGGTGTCCTGCCACGCAAGGACATTTTCTAAACGAGCGCCTCTTCTGGAAATCTTTTCACATTTTTTTCCTTGCCTGAGCAAGCCATCAGATAGCAGTCCACGTGCACTCGCTGCCTGCATGACCTTACACAAATGCGTAAATCCCTGCTTACTCACACGCATGTTAAATATTTAATCAATGTATTTTGGCGGGAAGTTCTGTTGACTTTGCGTATTGACTAGGAAGCCACTGTGGCACAAAAACAGCCTTAGTGTGTACTGAGTCATTCAGCAGGTAAACGTTCATTTATAATGAAGTAGCATACAGTCTCCAACATTATTTGGGAATTCTAAAGGATACTTGTTTTCAAACCCATGACATACATCAAATTTTCAATAGTAAACCTCTTGGACAGCAATACAAAATACATATATGGGGCCAGTGTATATCTAGAAGAAATCCCTGTGACATGGATAATAACTAATCATTGGTCCACATGTTGTTGTATAAGCTATGAAATCATGAGACCCATATGCAACACATTAAGCCCTGTGATGCTCTTTTTAATAAGTGTCCATGAGTGAAACAACTAGTGACCCTCAAAGGTATGAAAGAAGACATTTAAAATAACAATTTGTATAGTAGTGTATTTGAAAGAGTTGCTGAGAAATTGATTTTTCAGTAACAAACACCCAATTTTTATGTGAGCCACGCATATTAAAAATCATGTAAAATACAGAGCCTACAATTGTGGTGGAGTCATGCACTAAAGTGCTCTATAAGTCTTTTGCCTTAGAAAGTGTTTATGGTAATTACTCATGGTATATAAATATTACCTATATACCATTAATAATATCAAATTTCCTTCAAAGAAATGTTCATTGGTGTCTTGAAGCAATAATTTCAAAGTTTTGCACAGCTGGGTTCAAGACTGTTAGTATGTATGTGACTGATGATGATGCATACGTCAGGTGCTCCAAAGGTGAGTTATTGCTGCAGAGATCTGCATTGGATAATATTAATTCTATTGAAAGAATACGAGAAAAGTAACACAGAGTGTTGTTAGACAGTGTAAGGCAGGAAAAAATATCTCACTACTTTCTTTACATCCAACCATGATCAATGCATTCTGCAATGAATCTGTTTATCATTGAGTTCCAAGACCAAAAAATTATTTCTTCAAGGTGTTAAGCCTTTTTGACAAGGCAGGAGCAGCTAATAGGGCATGTGCATTATGAACAGGTTAAGAGCCAGCTAAGTGCTTTCATTGTTTAGAGTGTTTAAATAAGAAAGGTCTTAAATGATCCTCCCATGATGTGAAGTCTTCCCCAGGGCAATGGTGTATCTGACATGTATGCTACATTAGCCAAAACCATGTTCACTCATCAAAAATTAAAACTGAAGGCAGTGTACTGGGCATGACAAAAAATCTTCCCGACATCTTAAAAAAATCTTTCAGACCCTTTTCTAATACACCAACAGACTCTAGAATCTCCAGCCAACCAAAGGGCTGTCTATTGATGAATAATCAAACTTTAAACTGAGCTTTAAAACCAATTCTACTTAGGCTAGGGCTGCCGCTAGTTCTTCTCACTGTCACAATGCAGCACTCTGGCCTAACTGGGGCATCTGTACCATAAATTTTTACCAAATGACCTCAAATTTATGACAAATTAATTATTCAATTCAATTTGAAGTACGCAATATTCCAATCCCTCTCTAGGCACTCCTTTTATTGGATGGAGTAATATCCATCAACCATTCGTACCATTTATGATTAAGATAATAAAACCACCAGTCAGAGAAAAAAGTTTGGTCTCTTACTAGAGCATGCTAGTATTGACTGCAGTTAGTCTTCTTATGTAAAATATCACATGTGGGTAGACGTTTTCACTGAACCCCATTTTGTCCTTGGCCCTTTATGTACAATTTCATGAGCAGTTGTGTGTAAGGCCAAAAACCATTGCAGCACAGTTAATGTGCATCAGCCTGAATTCACAAACAAAAAGACGCATACAATGTGCTTCAAGTATTATGACGTGTTTCTAGTCATCTTAGGCTAACCTTACTTGATGAGTATATCAAGCATATCAGACCCAGTTGTCTGATTACTGTTTGATCTCTATCGGAAGTCACCCCCCCCTCCCCGCCCTCTGTCCTGTCAATCTTTTAATCAATAGACCTGTCGCCTTTGTCTCCTGTCATACTCAGATCAGCGTGAAATGGAATCCCTGCTCTGTTGAATATGATAGATGATGAGCCGCCACAGGTCATTATCTTCAGTGAAACAGACTGTAACTTGAAGACACAGAGGTCAGTTGGTGCAGTGGTCAAGGTTCATGTGGCTGACCACAGGTTAATGCAACATCATTATCACACCTAAGATAAGTCAAATTAAATATTAACAATAAATTTAAATGTTAAAGATTTGATTCCCTGTGTTATTTGGCTCTTCCATGTTATACTGACCTATATGCAATGTCATGAATGACATCAATTAACACTGATATTACTTGTAATAAAATCCTTTTGCCATATTTGGTATGATCTGTTTAAGTAGGTTAAGTTAGGTCACAGGGTAATAGGTGGGAGACTTCAATTTGTTGTCTTGTATATGTGAGTGTGCACGACATACTTGCATGTTCGTAAGGAGGGGGCCAACAAGTGCAGCAGTCACACCTCAAAGGCCATACTACGTGCACGCCGCGGTGTGAGCATACAGTTCAATGGTATTTGTATTAACGAACATACTTTTTGTACTCCATGCCATGAGATACTACAACAAAACACAGTAGTATTTCTTCCTGCGATCACTACAATGATCTATTTGCTCCCTATATTTACTTTTCCCAAGATCTAAACCCCTTTCACGGATAATTGTACCACCCCTGCATATCTTACTTTCAGAAGCATAACCTTGGTGGTTTTAAATCAATGGAAGCTTTACAATTAAAATAGTTTCTGTTTTGTTTCTGAACGGTGTCAGCTCCCACCCCCCACCCCCTTTCCCTTGTCTTGAATCAGAAGGGGGGGGGGGGGGGGGTAGGAAGAGGTGGAGGGGATAGTGTACAATATGCACACAGCCAAAAATTCCAAACCAAAATTACACTTAAGAGGTCAAATATCTGTTCAACTCTCCAGTCAGGCACATGCGGAATAAGATAAATGGCCCAGTCTAGCTTAGGACGTTTATGTCACTGACCTCGAATCATCAATAAATTACAGTAAGAAACT